TTTACCAATGTCCCTCATGGAATTTTAAACGTAGTCCGCATCCATTTCAAAATTAAATGAATCCAATATCGCATTGTTTCACAGATGTGGAGGAGAATATCAGTTTTTCTGCATAAAAAAGGTACACCGTAAAGCCTTTAATTTAGAAACGCTAACGCAACGGCTGTTCAGGCTCCAAATTATTCGGGAATAAGAAACGTTTCTCAGAACCCTATATACCTAAAATGTAAAGCTGACGCCATTCGCTGTCAGACGATTAAAAGAATGCATATTCGGTTCCTGTTATTGATTACTCCGCATAGTCTCGACGAAAGTATTGCTAAGTTCTACTCATTTTTTGAAATCTGCATACCACTTTATGCATATTACCCATTATATGCTTGAATGCAGAGCAGAATGGAATTCACTGTTCGCTCGTCTGGAGGTTATGGTGACCTGGTCTTATACATGATATTCGTTTAACAAAGAAGTACCTTGCGTGGCTGCATTAAAAAATTGAAAGCAAGAACGTCCGATACTCGTAAACTTAAAATAAAACGTTCGGCATATCCCTGACACTCCAACCTTAACCCTAGCCTAAACAATTACTCCAACCCTAAATTTAAAACCTAAACCCAAACTTCACCTTAACCTTGGGCCTGCGCCTAATCTTGGCCACATAACTGATATTGACGTAAGATTTATAAGAAGGTCGGTTGGAAGGCCCATACTCTGAGTCAGTTTTGGTGCTAATATTACTGATTAAGATATGTTTCCCTTGCTGTATAACGTCTTCTACAATATGTTAACTAAATACTGTAGATGTGCTAACTCATGCATTGTTAGCCAAGATTCTAAAATGCATATATTGTTTCGGAAAAAAAATGCTTACGTATGGTTTTAAAATTAAGCATTTTACAGCATAAATCTACAAAATCTCAGTTACCCCGGAAAGCCGGCGTTCGAGTGGGCATCTTATCTGCTACAAGCAAGAATCGCAGTTTGTAAAAATGGCTACTTATGCAGCATGCATTTTCTTTTGATGCCCTTAAATATTGATCACATTTTGCAAAAAAATACAAAAAAATATTCACTGTTTTACTCCTTCGGTAGACCATTACGTCTTCTTTCAATTTAACGCTGGAAGGAAAAGTAGAATTCGGTTTTCAAAAAGCGTTCCAACCCGCGAATAAATTTTAACACGACCTGCCGTTACACTTGCATCTAAGGTTTCCGAACTGTAAGCCGTACATTTTCCGCGTACTGAAAAAAATATATTTCACTATCATATTAAGAGTATACCATATGGGTTCATAACATTTAACAGTAGATTTGAGCCAAATTTTAAACCTCACAATACGCATGAGTGACTGCATAGACACGCCGTTTTATGAACAGGCATTTCATGGCATTAAACAATCTCACAATCAAAAATTTTTTGAAACCGAATTATAGCCTTCGCTTGAGTATAAAATTGCAAGAAAACGTAATTGTTTACCAAATGAGCAAAAGTACAGATATTTTATGCATGTTTTCCATGAAGTATAATAGAATTGTTAAGGTCATAAAAAAGAGCGATAAAAATTTACGGACACATTAATCTGTCGATCTTTCTCGAATGCACTCAAGGCGTGATCGTGCAAATAGCCAACAGGATTACATTGATTTTCAGACAGTTTTTTGTCGTATTTTAACAAGTAGTTCAAAAAGGGAAACTCAAGACCACAAGTGCTCGCAGGCTGAAAACAGCACAAAATAAGTGAACACTAATAATATTCAAGAAATTGACGGATAACCTAGCATTGGAGGCATAGTTTGTAGTTTAAAAAGAAAGGAATGCGATTTATGTGAGACTAATAATTTTTATGCATCACGGAACCACTAATTTGGCGTAATTAACTAATGGGAACAAGTTCGACAAGGATTATACTAATATAGTGATTATCACTATACTACTATATTACCACATATAAGCTAATCTTCACGGAACGAAATACAATAGACGTAATTTAAGGACCGCAAAAGTTTCGATTTATTATTTATCTCTGTCCACCGATATTTGTATTAAAATTATGGAATATCCACATTATTACAGAAATGGACTTTGATGTTCAAATTGCATCAGAATGACGTTTTTGGGTATAGGGTGTAGCAAAAGGTGTAAGTACCTGGACTAAGATAGTTTGTGCCAGTCCACAATCCGCAAACGGATTCGACTACCTGGCACAGTGGCAAGTCGTATTTTGACAAAGTCATTGGCTTCAGAACCTTTTTGCGGCCACGGCATGGAGATAAGCATCAGCAATTTCAAGGATATCTGAGCAAGACCGCTATCTTTACGGCACGCCTGATGACAAATGTCGCAGACAAACGTTGAAAACAACGACGAGACCGAATAAATAGTCATCGCTGAGACCTCTCAGCTCAGACAGCAGAGCGGTCAACGGCGGTTACACGGAATTTCCCCCTGTGCGGGCGTACAGAGGCTGTGCAGATGAGTCAACAAAAGCCCACCTGGACTCGCGTCCTCTGGCTTTGTCAGTACGCTGTATTGGTGTATGCTTGCTCGTTGTGTTGTCTGCCAGAGGTGACTACCAGCTCGGGATCTCGGCCGGCTCACACAGATTCCGCATGGTTTAGGAAGCAGGGTTGTTTGGATTCGTGCGTGCGTGCTTGATCTGGCAAGTCTGCTTATCTTGCACGTAGAGGAAATGACTGATATTCAGCCCTTCCGAATTCATGACTTACCTCACGAACTCCATTTTCACCTTGCCTTGTTTAATTTCCGCAATGTTTTTTTCAGAAGGGTAATGTGTTACACAACTCTGCATTACCGGCAGCCTGTCCATGGTTTTGAGAATATTTTGCGGTTATTTACCAGTAGCTGATATAATTAAGTCCAAGACTTCATATAGAATTTCGGGACTTGCATAAAGCGGTGCATTCCGAGGGTTTAACTTAAAGTTCGTGCATTCACTCCTCTTGCCAATAAACCTGTCAGGGTGAAACTGGAGCTCATAATACGGAAAACACACGGGAAAGGCGGTGACCCATTGATGCGCCGAACCACTCGCAGGTGCGTCAGGCAGCGGCACAACATCGGCCAAACACGCGGGTCTGTGCTGTTGCTTGGCGGTTTTCATGTCAGTACGGTAAAATATTGCACAATCTCATCCGAATCTTTGGAAGAAAACCGAAAAAAGTACAAAGATCAATGTGAAGACAATGGTGCAGTATTGCCAGGCAAGGGGGTTATTGCCAACTGCCGTAACGAAAATACTAACAGCTACTAAAACAACATGTCCTGAGACGCCACACAGACGGATGTTTTCGGTGCAGAAGGAAGAAATTCCTTAGAACTGGCTCAAAATTTAAAAAGACCCGACCCACAATCGGTATAGTTGTGAACATATTGTTGTTTTTTTTAAACAGAATTAGGGTGACGGAGCGAGAATAAGACATTGGCATATCTCACAACAACTGTTGAATGGTTACGCACTGTGTCAAAATGTATGTTCCGCTGCCCTCCTGAAGGAAGCAAGCAGATCGGCGAGCAAGGGATAGAAGTGCAAGCTGATGAAACCCTTATCAACAGTACCGCCTGGTGGTTTGATTTAAATGTCTTGCGACTGAAGCATGCATGGGAAGTCTTCCTGTCTCACATGAATTAGAAATATGGAAGTAAGAGGAGCAGTGTGTACAAACAAGAGGGATGATGTGAATGAGAACAGGAGAAGAGGATGAAAGTGCCGGCGGCAGTGGTGGTGGTAGATTTGGAAGAGGATGCTGGTTAATGTGATAAGGAGGAGGGGAAGGAGAATAAGGTAGGAAACAAGAGTCGAAGATGCAACGGGGAGTAGGAAATGAAGTGGAAATATATGAAGGATAAAAACGAAGAGAACGAAGAAAAATTGCATGAGCGGAAGAGTAGTGATTAAGGGGAGTAACATCATTAGATGAAAATAGGAGCAGAATGCGAAGAAAAAGATGATAAAGACATTGGAGTAGCACTTACTTTCTGCAAAGAACAGTGCGTTTCTATTTCATCATGCCCGCTTTTTTGAGCAGTGTACACAGTCACCAGACTCAATAGCATTTTCGTTTGTAATAACTCACTGGACAGTGCTCGGTCAGTTAACAATGATTATTGTAGAAATTCGACATAATTATCACTTAAACTCTTAATCTATAAAGCTCGTACTCGAAATTGATGTCTTTGCGTGACTGAAAGCCTAATCGACGTTGGCGTACGGCAGATCTGCTCAAAGTAGCCGCCTTTCACTCGGTCTTGATGAAGAGGTTTTTATTTCAGCAAAGAATGCATAAACAGACACGCTAAGCCCCACCATGTTGCTTTACGCTGAAAAACGTTATCATTCCTTTTGGAGACAAATAAGATATGTCAGCGGTCCGACAACAATGGGGTGAAGGACTCCACCTAACTATGGGTCGACTGTGGAACAAATCATACGAGGATACTGGCAATGGGGGTTTTACAGGTAGAGCCATTCATCCAACCGTTGTCGACGATTCTCTAGGGATTGTCAGCATAGGAACTCCTATGGGAAGTTACGCGTCAATTGCTGTGTCACGGAAATTGAAATTCAATTACACCACTGCAGGCGAGAAAGTCCGGTTTGTTTTAATGCGTGACTCTGAAGATCTACCTCCTGAAATCTTCTTAGGATAGCACAGTTGAACAGGGCGCTTCTGTGCTATAAGAGGTTGAAAGGATAATCAGTCAACGAGACATGCAATGAACAAGGACAGAGAGGATTGACATAATAATTAACGGTTTATCGGTTTTCATCGGTCACTTCTAGAACATAATAAACCTAGACTCATAATCCGAACCAGTTAACTGGCCAGCAGACATTCCGACAAGACGTTTTGCCATGGATGCACCCTGGTCGCAGATGAATGACTATTGTGCGCTGGATGAGGACGAGACGGACTGTGAGGAGAAGGAGGGGGTGGTAGATGAGAGAACAGTGAAGGTGCTTGATAATGAGGAGTATTAGCTAGACAAGGTCGAGTGGCAGCAGGTGATAGAATACAGGGGATAGGAGGATGAAGTGTGTGAAAAAGGCGGGATGGCACAGGAAATGACGTGAAGGAGAAGAGGAGAATAGGATGATAATGACGGCGGCGGGGATGGCGGAGGAGCAGGAGGAGGAGGGCGAGGAGGGGGAGAGTGAGGAGGAGTAGAAGGAGAAGGAGGAGGAGCAAGCTGGCAATGATACGAATTGAAGGAGGCCGAGAAATTCTAAGCGGAACAGATGGAAGAAGAGGTTAAACAAAGTAGAGACAGATCAGGATAAGAAGGCAGGAAATCATGACGAATAGTCAGATTAATTAAATTAGGAAGAAGAGGAGGAGGCTGGAGAGGAAGAAGAAGTGAAGAAGAAAGAGCATGGGGGAGGGGATAGGGGGGAGAAGAGAAAGGGAATTGCGTGAATTAGAGAAATCTTCCAGGATGATGAGGGTGAGGAGACAAAGAAAATACAGGGGGGTGGTAGAGTAGGTAGAGATGTCTGTGGGGGTGGAGGGGAGAAGAAAAAAGATGTATAACGAGAACAAGGGGAAGGCTGATGACGAAAAGGATAACGGCATCGTTGTATTTAAAGGAATTGAAAGATGGGTGCTCAGGAGACGGATGGTAAAGTCGGAAGCAGGATAACGAGGAAGAGCTGATAATTGAGGGAGTTAAAGGAATAGTAGAAGTAGTGGTAATGCAAGTAGAAGTAGCAGAAGAAGGGGAGGAGGGAATGAGGGAAACGCGAAGGAGGAGGAGGAGGGTGAGGAAGAATAAAGGGAAGCAAAGAAGGAGATGGAGGAGAATATGAGGGAGCACGGGTAAGATATAGGGATTTGGAGGACCAGAAGAAGAAGATGATGGCCTCACCTGAATGAAGCGAATTTCCTGTAAAGAAGCATGACCCTTTTTCATTTCAGCACTATATATTGCTGCACGCAATATGTTTAATGCAATAAAAGTTTCCTTGAGTAGCAGAGCAGGTCTGCACAGCATTTTAATCTCGGCAATCTCAATTGGGATTGTCTTAGTATCGAAAATCACCGGCAAACCTGCTGACTATCAACGATGATTTGCTTACCGAAGTAAACATTTCAAAACAGTGTTATGGACTGTCATTTAATTGCCTAAATCAATCTGCAGAGACGTAAGTGCAAAGTTAATAATTTCGGGCAGCACCCGAAATACTGGCGGAGGGGTCAATGAGAGCGAAAGTAAGTGAAACACTGGAAATGTTTACAACCAGAAGGCTTATTATATTTCCTAATAATTTATATCTGCCTACTTGACAAGCTTGCTTATGATCTCAAATAAATCCTCTTTATTTCAAATACACCCATAACACACAGAAAAACTTCACAAAAGGTTTTCCCCTTTATGTGCAGGGCATACAAGTGCCGCGATCACTCTACGTTTTAAGATATATACAGTACCTGTGCTAACTCATGAAATGTCACGAATTAACACAGGTTAACGCCTTTAACGCAAAATCGGTAAACACTACGGCTCCCAAAGTCTGATAGCGGAAAATAAACGATGTGCCAAAGAAATAAAGCAAAGTTTGGTTAAGAAAATATTATTTACTGAGATAAAAATAAATAATTTTCGACAAAATTCACATTTTCGAGAAACGCCTATATTACAACCAAGTTAATAAAGGCTACGTATGAGGACGTATAAAGGAGGAGGGCGCATAAAAGGTCAAAAATAATTAAGGACAGAAACAGATACAAAAAATTAGTACTTTGTAGATTGTCCATTCGAATTAATAACAGCAGAAAGTCTGTCCGACATAGACATGACAAGGTTATCTATGGTGGATTGTAAAATGTAATTATTGAGTATGAAATCCAATTTTTCCTGCATTGAAAGAGACTTCTTAGCTTTGTGCCAATTTCTTTTGACTATTCCAAAAAGATTTTCGATTGGATTAAGGTCGGGACTGTTGGCCGGGATGAAAATGGATTGGAGGCCAATTGCGGAGAGCGTGGTTGTTGTCTAAAATGTTAGATTATGTTTGCAAGCGGCTCAAATTCATACCTCTTTAGAGCGGTGGACAGGTGCATTGTCCTGCAAAATTACAGTATCCATTCGGCGCCGACTTATGCCGTTGTAGCCGAAAGCATCCTTGACAATTGCAATGAACACCTTGCTGTTGATGGTGTCTGATGTTGACCGCCAGACAGGCCGCTCACCGAATTTAATCGCCATCCAAACCATCATCCGCCGACAGTTCTTGAATGTTGCCGTCGGTGTAGTATGTTCTCTTGGGAAGTTCTTTCCACATATGACAGTTTGGAGCGACTTCGTAGGCTTGTCTAAAAATAGAACCTCATCGCAGAAGAAAATGCTCTTCCAAAATGAAGATCTGTATTCAATATAATTCTTAGCAAATAAAAGCCGTTCTCTAATTAGTTTTCTACTTAAATATGGCTTAATCATGGCCTTCCGCCGCTGCAGTTCAAATTCCTTCATCCTTTTTCTTATGATGTTCATAGAAAACATCGGCAGATGTTCCCGCTGAATGGCCTCAATGGGCATGTAATGAAACTTTTTTAATGTACGACGAATAAAATCGTCATCTTGCTTACTTGTGGACCGTTTTGGTCCCCCTATCTTATTTCTAGGAACAGTTCTATCATTAATAATGCGCCACAGAGTGACCTTGCTAATATTGAAAATATTAGCTAACGACTCACGCGGGATTCCTTCCGCCGCTAATTTTCGAATGCGCTGGAAGTCAACTTCGGATAAGTATTGTTTAGACATAGTTATCGTTTGGCGTGGCAGAGCAAAGTGACGGCATGTCGCGCGAACTCAATATATATTCGTTTACGACACGCATTTTCAGTCTGGTAAAACAATCACACTGATAAACTTTTTTATTTCGGTATTTTGAAACATAAAACTTTACGAATTTGTAAAATAGAATTTTTAGATAAAGAATCGCACGTTATTTCCTGAACACAATAAGAAATAATTTATCTGCATTTCCCTGATTTTGTTGATATTGAAATTTAATTTTTTCTTTTTGTTCGAAAGTTTATCAAAAAATTTCGTCCTTTTATTAATCTTCTTAAACAGATTAATAAGGTTACACAAAGAATTTCCATCCGAAAGCTTTAATAGCGTAGGAAACTGCTTGAATATCAGGAATCCTCCGATTTCGCCTTAATCCGGCCCGTTTTCTATTTAATATACAGATCCGTATCAAACTTTCCTTCAGAAAACGGTCTTTTCGTCCTTATTTCAACCAAATAAACACAAATAACGACACCAAAAATACACTACATTGTCCACTATAATTTTGACCTCGGCATTTCATGAGTTAGCACAGGTACTGTACAATAACAAATAAGGAAAAAAGGCCGCTGACTTAGACAATATTGTTTCATATGTTCTTAGCATAAAGAAGTCGAAACCTGGAAGCAAAGGAATTGTTTGGTTTTTGGGTTCTAGGCAGACGAGACAAGTTTACTCACAGTTTCTGCAGCGGTCACTATGATGCGCAAAAAGAATATGTATGGTTTTTAGACATCAACTGGAAGTTAACCAGGGAGGTTATTTTTCGCAAGACTGCTGCAGAATTAATACACTGCGGCTGCAATGACATTGTATACGCATCATTATTGGCAGCCTAAAATTCATCGCACATGGTTGGACATGGTGCGATAATTGTTTAATGACCGCTGTGGATTTCTTAAGTGCCAAAATAAAACGACCAAATTCGAGGTTCCTATCAAGGTATCAGGTTCCGGGGTGGTCTGGTTAGACTTTATTCCCTACCGCTTTTAAGAGCTGGAAATTGTATTTGCAACAACTACATCTTTTGAAGAATAAATTTAGTTTTCGGAAACCCCTGGGATGACCTCGGTGATTCTTGTATTACGGTATGTGCGACGGCGTCAATTAGCATTTGTTATTTTACTACTTTTTATTTGTTACTAACCAGAACGTGTCCTCATCATTTTTCTTCGACTGCATTCATGCTTATATTTTAACAAACCACACAGTGATGACATTTGCAGCTCTGCCTGTCTGATCACATCGAATGCAGGTCCCACCTGCAGTTTTCTACCCTCCATTCTTAACTCTGTCATTCTCTGTTGGCCATTATGCTTGCTGCATAAAACCAAGAAATTATGGTCTATTCCGATGTGCCGTTCATATTCACAGCCATCTCGACGAATCTGAACAAGAAACCTGAGACGGTTGATGGCGAAGCTTAGGGCCCGTTGAAAAGTATGTATCTCAAGATGCTACTTGAACCCTGTCAAAGTACTAACTTAACCTTTGCGGGATAAATCTATAAACACATCAGCAGAGTTACATTGGACTTCTTAATCGCCGGTTTAATGTTGGAACTGGTGTCAAAAGACCTAGAAAAGACTCCCCTTATCTAGCTGAAGCCTATCGTTAGGCGTCGTATAGTTTTAGACACGTTTGATATTAGGACATATGTATGAGCGCTCGTCTATCATGTTACGGAAAATGATCGCTTCCTTGTGCCTTGGGGTTGATACTAGAAAAATTGTACCCTCCCCATCACCCGGTTTTCCACCTAACCAAGCCTGATAAGGCACGCGTCGCATTGGAATACGCAGTCGAATACTCCCTGAACGATCAACTATTCTCTGGGCCTGATTTGACCAATTCGCTAATCGGAGATTCAGACAGGGCAAAATTAACGTCATGCTTGCATAGAATAAATGTTCCCCCAAGTGCGGCTCCCCCAGAAAGACTATAAAGAAGTGCTGTCTAGATAACGTTGGAGCCACTCCAAACCTGTCATCGTGTAGGTTTTAGCGCATTCAAACATGAGTGAAAAGAAGTCTGGTTGTGCAAGCAAAGTGAGGATAAAAATAGTAAATGACCATGAACCTGCATAAACAACCCCATTGGCCGTTTTCACACGCAAATAATCTTTGTAAAAAGAGCACAAACAGAGTACTACATCCTAGGCTTCATTGTGTTTGTCACGAAAATGCATGCGTCCGCCAGAACGGGATGATGCGCGTGGCAGTTGGTAGACGAAGTCGTGGTGGGTGGGTTCGATTGTTGTTTTTGCCGGTTGAATGCAAGGAGTATAAATGAGTGGGTCAGGTAATGATGATGTGCGGGAATCGGATGGCAAGACAGGTGAGGCACAGCGCTCATAAGAGGTTGAATAAGATATGCCGAGTAAGACGCTGTCTGATTTGCCGGCCCTTTGAATCAAACGAAACCCTATACCTAGCCCCTAATCCCAAAACGACCCCTAACCAAAACTTGAATGCTGACCCTAACACATAATCCTTGCCCTACGCCGAATTCTAACCCTAACTCTAACCCTAAACGGTAAATCTAGCGCCTGACCCCTTACCGAAACTCTAAGCCTAGTCCAAAACGGACACCTAACCGAAGTCCCTAACATAGCCCTTAGTCTAAACAAGACACTAAGCCTAACCCCTAACCAAAATTATTCCCTGAATTTAACTTTAAACCTTATCCCCAACCCAAACCTAACTCCTAGCTCCAACCCCAACCCTAATTACAAACATGACCCCCCAACCCGAACCTATAACGTTGACACCTAAACCCAAGCCCTAACCGAAAACCTCCAGCCCTAACCCCTAGACCCGTGCTAAAACCTACCTAACCCCTCTGGCTGTAAAATAGGATCTTACCGGTCTCGCTGTCGTAGGTGGAATCGGGAGAGTTAAAAGTTCTATACCACGAAATGATTCAGTGTCTGAACAAAAGTCTTTGATATTCTGTCGTCCATGGAATGAAGCAATTCATAAATTCACCGATGGTGTACAGGGCCGTACGGCATGCCAATTCCGTGTATCCAATGCTCTTCTTAACGAAAGATTGGATGTCCAATGGCTGAAGATATCGGTGGTCGCTTCAGGAAGCCAGACCTGCGTGAGAAAATTAGCACTGTCTTGTAACGACTCTCCAGGCCTTTTAGGAATTCGTAGCAGGGAGTGGGACAGGGTAATATGTCGTGGTTTATGTGTGAGGGCATACGGACCGTCTGCTAAAAGCTGGGATGTAGGTGAATCGAAATTGACGTCCGCGGTCAGTGATTATTATGGTTTGAACACCAAAAGTGGAAATCATGTGATGCTGAAAGTGTGAAAAATTTACATATAAAAGTGGCCGAAATAAGAACGGTCATTGGCCGCCGAGCCAAACGGTTAATAGCTGTCAGGTTTTGTATGAAGTCATGAAAAGGGGGAATTAGGAGGTGTTTGGTCGGAGTGCACTCAAAAGTCCGTGCTTTCTAAAAGATGACCAAACTGACGAATAACCAGTTAAGTGGGAATAGGCTTTAGGAAAAAGCATCATATGAGTCTGAGACGGATTTAGCTCCTGTGGAAAATAAGTCATTGGTTGCATTTGGTTATTCAACTGTTTGAGCATGACTGCCTCGATAACACCACTGGAAGCGTCACTGGTCAAAATCAGTTGTGCACTAGCATCAGGACTCATAAGGTGCATCTCAGTAACGTCAATCATGTTTGTCTTGGCAGCTTCAAAAGATGAGTAAGCTGTTGGTGAAAACTTGCCGATCTTGCTTTGGCCTTCAATATATCAGTAGTGCAAGCTAGTGTATCGCCAAAATTGGACTCTTTAATAAACGATGTCAGGTTCGCCATGTTTCTCTTCTTGCATTGTTAATATTTTGTCAGCCGTGGGACACACCCTGTCTTGTATTTTCCGTTGATGTTCTCAATCCTGCGTACTCCCTCTCTAACACGCTGTTATTTCGTAGGAGAACGGAACTTGATATGTGCACTGCTCTCCCCATGGATATGCATTTAAGCCTGACGAGTCGTGAGACAGCTCGCCATTTACATTTACATTCAGAAATACCTCCACATTTTGGGTCCTGAGTCCACTGTAGTAATCATCAGTAGAGATGAAATTCGTTGTCTTTAATCCCTTTGCCCATCTCATTCCCTGGGAAAGGGTGCCAACTCTGCAGCCAGCAACACTATTGTTAATTTTTTCAGCAGACAGCGAGCAACCTGCCTCCCATGCACTCTCTTTGATTAAGCGCCTATTTTATGAAAAGGAATTGAGGCTGAAAACAACCGACGTAGTGCTAACGGTTCTTTCCTGAACTGACGTCATTCAACATGCAAGACGTCTTTCCCTGAAGTGTGCCATCGAACCAAAAACACCATCACTGATATTGATTTTCTCGGGAGTTTCTTTACTGGTAAGCTGATCCGTTCTTTCTCTTCCCTTGCCAATGCCTGTAAAAGGGCATTAAATATAATTATCATTACTATATAGCCAGTCTACATGAGTGACATGTTATTAAGGAACTTCGTTTAATCTAAGCCAATGATCTACCCCTTCCAACGCCTATGCCATCCTAATCGCTGCAAAAGTTACTCAACATTGTAACCTACTTTTTCGAATAAAACTAATCCTTCTTCGGTCTACTGAAGGGATCTAGCCGTTCTAGAATTTGAAGATTGTTGTATAAAACACGCAACTTGGACAGCTGCCGTCAGAACAGGTTTAGCGGTTAATAAGTAAGGAGACCGTAAACTGACATGTGGTTTTGCCTACATACAATAGCCAAATTTTCCACGAATTGCAGCTCTGTATGTTGCCCTTTTTTAAGATCTTCATACCTTTCTTCACGTTTATGCGCTCCTTCTCCCTGGCTTGCTGACTTTTGCTTCAACCTACCAGTCGATAGCAGATTACCACCTGGGAGCCTCATTTCAACGTTGACACAGTTAAGGCTCTGCTTCCTTAAATTAGCA